GTAGCTTAAAGGATAAAGCATTTGCCGTTGATCAATCCCTTTTTGGGATGCGCATTCTACTTCCATTTGTACATTCGTAGTGGCGTTTGAATGCGATGTGGCCTATACAATGACTTGCGGGGGCCAGCCGATGTACAAGTCAGTGTTTTTATCCTCCCAGACAAGTCTGGTACCAATTAACCGACCCCGGAGGGATGGAAGGCTTGGTTGGCCCGGGCGACTCACGACCCAGGATTTGATCCCGGACCGCTCGCGTGGTAAGCGTGCCACTTGCCACTACACCACTTCCGCCCACGATAAGAACGAAAATATCACAAAAATTGTGTATGATTCGGTAAACTCGAAAACACAGAAGGACTGCCACGCGTTTGAATTCCCGCCGAAGATCTGTCACAAATGCAGGCGGTAGGTTCTCTCAGTGCCGTAATCAGGAAATGTTCATGATCTTTTGAGTTATTGGACTGAAATCTCACACTTCTACTGCATTCCATTCTATCGATCGTCTCGAGATCGATGATCGAAAGGATCGATTTCCAGATGGAGCGCCTTCATTGCATTCTTTCAGTCTGTCGCCTAAGGCCGATGTCAGACTTTGCGAATCGCGCGATTCGCTAGCGTCTGCGCGCGGCCAGTGAATCACTCAATTGGCTGGTACCGCAACGCGACCGCGGACGCTAGCGAATCGCTAGTAGCGAATCGCGCGATTCGCAAAGTCTGACATCGGCCTAATACAGGACCGCCCCAAGGCGCACTCCTGTCCAAGCGTCTCTGCTCGAGTTTCCTTCGATAGTGTGGTTTTGGTGAATTTATTTCTCTTCAAAAACGGAATCTTCGAGCGTGTAACTCTGTATGTTGTCTCTAGCCGACAGCCGACATCATCATGTGGGGAAAGAACTGCAAGAACTTCTCCGGGGGAGAATCCTTTAACTGCCTGAAAGCTTGAACGTATGTAACAGGTTTGGACATATTTCCTTTTGTTGACAGCATTTCGAATAGTTGCAACAACATATCTCCGTCGGGCAACAGAAGCAAATTAGATTTCTTAGTTGTACTAAACCAGTAGTTGATCTAGGTGTAAAACGTGAAATGTGACTGTTTGCTAACATGACCCTGCCATTCAATATGCTAATTTTTCGGGCCTGCATTAGAAAGGCCAGAGGTCGGGCTTTCATTGTGCATTTATGACGAACTTCAATGCTTCACATTTATGCAGTTTGAGATGAAATAGTCAAAAGTTTTGTTGAGAAATACAGCACTTCACGCATGGGTCGAAGTGATCAGACAAGAAGAAAACTTTCACGGCATGATGCACAGTCCCATTGCAGTGTCACATCTCTTTGAAGGACATTGTGAGCACGGTGTTCCAATTTTGTAGACTTCGTGATCTACTTGGTTTCCGCTGAAAAAAAAGTAAACGCAAGAGTACCTCTATGACATCGTTTAACATTCGTCTGTATTGAACTTGTTTCTCAATTTAAAGTAAACAATGTTCAAAAAGTTCCCAGCCAGACGAATGGCTTATTGTTACGATAAAACCAAGAAGAGAGCTTTTTCGTTGGCGGGGGGACAATCAAGTGAGTGAGCCAATTAGGTACTTGGGACTGAGCCTCATAGAGGGGAAAGGATTTTGAGGGAGATATGAGCGAGTGTTATTCTCCCTGGCGTTTCTCCCATCTCCTGGGCTTAGTGCTAGTGTCACCTACCATCAGCCCTATTTCGAATACTCCCCCCCCCCTTCCCAAAGCCATAAGCGCGTTAAGAACATCGCGAAGTCAGCGGTAGCACAAGATAGGTGTGTATTCTCCAGAAGTAATTTAATAGGCGGTAGGACCCCGGGAAAATGAAACTTGCTCATGCTGCTGAAGCATATCCTACCATGCCCAATGTTCAGCCCCTTATACATCAAAAATAGATGTTTGATGATTAAGCTATGTATTTGTACAGTGCCCCCACAAATACATTCTCACGGTAAAGTTTTTTTTATATAATTCCAACTATTTTTTTTCACGTGTTACCGCCACAATGCCCCGTATCTTGCGATAGCGCCGCGAAACATCCGAACTCCAGCGGCAGAAGACGTTTTTCACTTGATTCTAGCAAGATTTGTCTATTTGTCTATTCAGCCTTATCGGTTGAAAAAAAGGAAGCATGAGCTCAGCTTCTGAGCACCTGAGACTACAGGAAATAAATTTTGGAAGCGATAGACTAACATACTCAAATCTGAACCCGTTTCTGGTACATTGGTGAATTCTCGGCGAAGATTTGATTGTTCGATGTTTGATTGATGATGTTTCGATTTGTTCAATTTTCTGAAGCTGTGCTTACCGTGGTGAATATCGGCACACGACAAAATAGGAGCCGCCGCATTTTCCAATGGCACATCCGACTTTATTCGTGGTTGACCACACAATCTGTGTATCAAATAACCATTGATGTACGAATGATATCCCTGCTCCACATCAAGTAAACTCAATTCATAAGAAAAAATATTGATAAGGTCTCACCTGAGTCGCTAGAGCTACAGGGGTATTTCTGTGTCTCTCCTTGAATATGACTTCTCTAACTCCAATGGTATCGTCCTTCCCTAATCGGTCTGAACCACGATCGCATGGCCTGAGCAATACATCTGCTTCACATTGTTATTTCTGCAGTCGAAAACTTGACGTTTGTCAAACTAACCCGCTTGAGCAGCTTTCTCGAAACTTTCCGCACTCTGAGGTTCCACCACAGCTACGTTCTCTCCCTGACCCTTCCTAGCGCTAGGATAGGACGGCACAAGTGCACATGTTTCAGCGTAGATCATTGCGTCAGCTTCCAGGTCGCAGTCATACTCCTAGAAGCAGTTGGAAAGAAATCACGAAATTCGTGGGTGGAAGCCATACCATCTTCTCCATGTCGGCGGCTTTTTTGAAGGACTTGCCACTGAATTTTTTCATTTTTCCGCGCAAGGCACACTCTCGCATGCTGAAAGAAAACTCTAGCAATAGGCTAGGAGAAGCTCTTTTTGAGGTAGTTGCACACTAACCTACGGATAATTATGCATTTTGAGGAACTTCTCTCTCAAGCTGTCTGTCATTCCTGTGTTGCTGGAGCACTGATTGCTTGCACCTTAATAGAAGACAAATAAAAGTCCGGGTTCATTTTTAGCTGTACGGAGCGAAAGTTAACCTGCAGGAACAGTTTCGAAGGATTGAGCGTGGCAGAGTGTTTCAGTAACGTTGCACGTTGACCGGGGATACGTCGTGCATTCTTGATCTGGACTTACAAGGCGTTCCTGCCGTATATACCTACGAGCCATTCCTAAGCCTCACTGCAACCAAAACGCATCACGGCCTCGGCTGCTCACGTTATTTGACCCACTGATTTTCTTGGCTCGCTCCGGCCTGTCCTGGGCCTTCTAAATCGGATACTATGATATCTTGCTACACAGTACCTATCTTGAAACTCCGTTCAAGCCCTAAAATCCCATAGATGCGTCTGCCCGAGGATAAGTCCATTCTTCCAAAACCACTCTACGAAGCGTTTTTCCCTTATTGGTGTCATTTTTGTTGTGTCCACTTGTCCTTTATAATACTTTTTTTTGAATGAATATTTGCTTTAGGAATTCAGGCTCCAATCAGCTGTTCTAGCTCAGAATTTCAAGATTTTTTTCGTCGAAACATTGTCAATAGAGTGAATTCGGCCCTGATCACGAATGTCATATTAATTTTTGACGCTCACGCGAATTGGAGCCACTTTGAAACGACAACTCTTATATCCGAGTTAGCTGTAAACTCATATATGAGGTTATTTGCGTGAACTATATTACCGGATATGACGTTCATTTTTGACACCTACTTCTCCCTCATCTCCTTTTTTTTACATTGGTATAACACAAACCCTAGGCGAAGATGTTGAGAGTACCCGAACAAATTCCAAAGGACCTGTGCAAATTACATTCTCCTCGGATCTTGCCCCTCTGAGCCTGGTCCTAGAAAATGGCCCCGTATCCTCCTCATACGCGTGTGCATAACCTGCTACTGCGAGTACTCAAAGAAAGCGCTGTCAGCATCTGCAGCCATCACTCTCTCCAGTAATTCCCCAGAAGGCTTGATGGTGTTCTATATTCGAATCAGCTGATTTAGAATTAAAGCATACGATGGAAGTAAAGCGCTTACGGTTGCTAAAGAAACACACGGCGGTGGCTTTGTCGTTGCAAGTCTGCTGAGAGCAACCGACGGAAAGTGTTACCGCTCGATAAATCTGTCAGACATAGTGATTTTTCAACAAAAAAGTGTCTTGTGAAAAGCTGTTCTTAACATTTGCAAGCGACCTCAATCCTTCGGGGCCCTGGAAGTTCAGCACCATGTTGCCCCATTGGTATCTAGAGCGTCCGCTAGCGAAATCGTTGAACCGCATTTTGAGAGGATCGTCGAGCTCCTCTTTATGATATAATACGTTCCTTTGTTCGTTTGATAAGCTGAAAAACAATGAAAGTCTTAGCCTTGATACGAAAACGTAAAATATGAGCAATCACCTAAAATGTACATTCATGGTCTTAAAAAAATATCTCTTAGCAACTCAAGTGCTCTTGCTGTGATTCCACTGTGCTCATGATCATCATCTACTTCACATTCAGCACCTCGCTGAAACACATCAATGAGTTCTCTGAGAGCTACTCGGCCGCTTTGAAACCATAAAGTGCGCCCTCAAAACAGGGTCAACTAACGCGTTCACACTTTTTGAAAAATTTTGCAACCCACTCCGCTTTAAAAAGGTCTCGATGCGACCACCACCATCAGTCTTAGAACGGTTCCCCCAATACGAGCCCCCTTCCCACTTCTCCAACTATCACCCTAGCATCATGGCTGCTTCTATGGTATTTGATTCTCAGTATCTTAATTGTGAGATCAGTCGACACACCCTCTGCCCATTTTTTTCCCTCCAAAACCGCAGTCGACCTGGTGGGGGGTAAGCGGGGTTGAATTCGTATGAAGCGGCAAGTCCTCCAGTTCTGATCAAATTTACGCTACCTTCGTCGTATAACTTCTCTTCTTCTTTACACATTCACTAACTTTGTCAAACAACCCGTAAAAATGGCAACCACTTTTCACGCCCTCCCTTCGCACTTCTCCAAAAATTATTAACCTCGCTTGACCCCAAAATGCGACTTGCCCTCCTTTCCGAGACCACAAATGCGACCCCTGGTACGAATTGTGCGAACGGACCGTTGACCCTGTCTTAGAGTTGCAGCATGAGAATATTCAATACTCACTGTAGTACACTTCTCGTATACAATGGATTTTCAGGTATTTCACTAGGGCAGCCTTGCACAGCTTCTCTAGCCAGCCTCTCCAACCCACAGCTCCATCTCTGAACATAGTTGGTAAGGAAAAGAAGAAAGGATTGGGTTAAAAAAGACAAAATGTTTGCTGCCACACTGCAGAAATCTCAAGTATGCAACTATAACACAGGAGGGGGGTGTGAAGAAAGGCAAAAAAATCCTTTGGCTCATGACGCACATTAACAAACCATCGTCGCAGAGGGTGCCGGCGTCTATGGAAGCTTAGCGACGGAATTTTCCTCTAATGTTTCCCATGAGGGCAGAGCTACAGCCCGCTTTTTCATTTGTCGTCGAAACTGCCTCAGGCACATGACATCAGTCTCAACAATTTCTGTCGATCTCCAAGGCTCAGCGTAACGTGATTTCTAGTCATTTGATGTGGCGAGCCAGGATTGAAAATCGTCGTGTCGAGGAAAGTGGTCACCTCGTCGTACGGACCCTCCCTCTGACAAAAGGGCGCGCGCACCTTCAAGCATTGATCTGCGATGATGCATGAGCGAGTTACCATGTATAAAAAAGAAAAAAAAAAAGGCAACAAAAAAGAGAAAAAAAAAAAAAACACAACCAAAAAGAAGCAAAGCATTCAGTTGCAGCGCGGTTTATCCGTGGGTCAGATTTGCCGAAACCCCGCTCGAAACCGTCGAAATCTACACTCTCGATGAAAAGGTTCCATTCCCCCATTTCATAACCTTTGGAGCAGTATGTGGTAGGGTTAGATAGAGCTGGATTTGCTACTACCGGCAATATTGAAATTGATCTAAAATCTTACACTCGAGGAGATAGGGTCTCTCAAATTTTGTCGAGGAGCGTCGAGGATGCCGGATATTTCATGCGAGTTTTTGCCACTTCAAGAGCAATATATCTCTTATATTGTAAGATCCTGAAAAAGGGAAGATAGTTTTGGAAAGCGGAAGGTTTGCGCTTCCTAATGGTCTGTTTAGCTTTCTTCTACATTTTCTAGTTGAGAGATATTTGCGTCGAGGATCTATCGAGGACGGATCTCGGCCACCTGAAAAAGCCGCTCCCTTCTTCACCATTGCAAGTTAATTCGTTGGCAACTCTCGAAATGTGTCTAGAATAAATTCTCCCAACGTAAGCGACAAGAAAAGGGGCAATCGTCATCGTCCGATCTCGTCTCGGTGGCTATGCGTCTAGGCTATGCATCCAACCTCCACTCAAGTTGTAGAATCTATTTAACGGAATTACACATATGATGATGACCTGTTACAGAAACTGTATTGTAGTAAGCTAAAGAACCAGCGTTCCTTGTTGCCTAAGGGCCCTTTACAGAACTGCTGCCGTTTTTGCGACAGCGTCCCTAACAACAGCATTCTTAATGAGGCTGAGGGCGAGGGAGCGAATGGTAAATGGAAGAAACGCCTTCGCAGCGCGTGTGCACATGTGACCCTGCTCCTTACAAGGTGCACTTTCATTTCTTCGTAATGGTTCATTCTTCGTAGTAATTTCAAAACCCCTCGAAGGTAGAGGGACGGAGCGACTAAACCTGCAAAGAATATTTTATATCATGTTTTCTCACATATCCTTGTTTTCTGCTGCGCTACACCCTCTCCCTCCTATCTGCACCACGATGCCACTGACGTTACTGACCCCATGAGTACGACCCCCATGACCCACCCTGACAAATACGACCCCTGTTAAGGATTTCCTCGGAACGATATTCACCCTGGTAGCGACTACATAACTTTTTCAATGGGTGCAAATGTGTGACTCCCGAAGAGTATAGCTCTCACTATGTGAAAGCCATTCCGACCAGCGCTTCAGATGACATCGTAATCGTGGACTATCTGACGTGGACCTCGTTGAACTCGCACCGCGCATCTTGCTCCCTTGGCAATTCCCGCTCTGATGTAGTCGGTCTGTAGAAAGCTATCAGGAAGTTTTTCTAGACTGGAATGTGCTTTTTTCCATCTCGAAGCGTTTTTTGAATATAACAAACCAATCGTGTTGATGACTGATCAGTTGTGTTTCAAATGTGAAGGGAAGATGATTTTTCGGCTCCTCTGTAGTGCCTACTTATTACCGTAAGCGGTTACCCACCATTGTGCATACATATTTTGTGCTGTAGGATATACTCGGTGTCGTCAGGACCAATATTGTATCCATCGTTCACGAAATATCGATAAAGATTATGCGCTCCAAGCACGTGGGTCCTCAACTCTTCTGTGAGTGTGCTTTCCAGGACATAATTCGCACGAGCCGGTAAGGAACTGCAGGAGCTGCAATGGAACAATATCTTCAAATGTTTTCAATACGTGAATTTTTTGCACAACTTTATCTCTGACAGCGGGTTTCAGGGTGCCATCACAGTGAAATGTATCAGAAATTCGATGAGAATCCAATCTGCAAGTCACTTCATTGTGTTCTCAATACTTAAAGGAATCTTCCACGGAAAAAGCTCCGCCTCCATTACCACAGAAAAACGATACCTTAGGCCCCTAGCCTCATGAGCATAGCAAAAAACGGAACATAAGCGTTAGTTTCGATAATACTAATCCTACACACAAGACAAAATGATCACTCTTTCCGTGGAAGATTCCTTTAAGGTATCGTTTTCTGTGGTAATGAGGGCGGAGCTTTTTCCGTGGAAGATTCCTTTAAAAGAAGCGGCCACGGAAATTCCTCTGGAGACGACAGGGAACGTGACGTAGTGGATTGTTTAGGGGTCCTATCCAATGAGGCGATAGGTGACGCTTCAGGAGCAGTGTCTCCTTATCAACGGCGTGATAGGGCGCTGAAACCCACTTCCGTTCCGCCGGTTCGGCGTTGCACCTCCTTATCAGACGTGGAAGGGGAATGCAACAGCAGCGTGCTAGACATGATACGCTTATCGTTATCATTCGATTTTCATGGTGGAGTGCACCTCATTCCAAGCACCCGTATCTTCTTATTTAATCTAAATCTTATAAATAAATAAATAAATAATCTTATCGTACCTACAGAGGGTTACACTCGTCCAACCACTACCTATCTCCGACCTTATCGGTTGATAACGCGGAGTTCAGAAGCGGCGTACTCAGCTTTCTTAAAGGAAGCGATTACGATAAGGAATTTTCGCATCGGGGGAGAACCTGCGCCACACGGAGCAATTACTTGGCTGCCAAGGAAGCGATGTGTGGTCCTCCCACGGCGAAAGGTGCTGTGGTTGCTGAGCAGGACCCGCGTGACGCCCCGCCCCCGTGACGTGACGCCCACTAGTTTTGTTGATGATCTGGATGGACTGTTTGCTGTTGGCTTTTCATTTTGGATGATCATTTCCCTTCTAGCGGCTGTATCTTCCAACTTGCCCACGTATTGCCTTATCAATCAAAACACTATGCTTGTTGGCATGATGGCGGCTATCGGGGTTAACACGTCCGAACAACGTCGTTCTTTACCGTCGCTCATCCATGGTCGAAAATGAAAGGGCAATCAAAGGGGTACTATTTTGCTTATTTTTGACGGATTTCTTTGCTTTTTTCGCCATTGGCGTACTATTGAGACCCCCACGTCCCCTCTAAACCCCTTTGAGATCTATCGTAATCGCTTCCTTTAAGAAAGAATGAATGCGCTCATGACACGTAATCGACTCATTTACAGCATACTTTTGATAAGTACCGGTGAAATGTGGAAGTAAGCCGTGAGATGCTTCCACGTTTTAGCCTGTGATTGGTCCAAGGAAATGGTCCTGAACCAGAGGAATGGAGATCTTTGCCTCGGCCTAAGGATGGAGGAGATCCAGGGTGGCGGGTGTGGTGCGGGAAATTGCATAGGATGTGGGGAATATAGGACATCCATTGCTCCTTATCAAAAGGCAGCTGAAATGAGTTGTGCTTAGTATGTTATCTTTAGTGTTAGAGAGCTAAAGGAAAGCTCTAAAACTAAGGATGAGATAGTGAGGAGTGCCCCTAACTGTATTTTCACCGAGAATTCTAACCATCTGTGCATTTCTCTCGATGGGAGCGCGCTTACAATAGGTACGGAGAACTTAGGATTCAGATTCTCAGGGAGAATCGCGATGCTGGCCCAATTCACGGGAACAATTGCGATCTGTAGAGTAAAGATTGAATCGTTGGCCTATAGGAAGGCGCGTTCTACATACAAACAAGGTTGAGTCACAGTAAGTACCGATTCGATATCTATTTTCAACATACAACATTTTCTAGAACCATCCTTATTCGCCTGTATCACTTGTCGTCCCGCTGATCATCATTTGCTCGAGCAGGCAGCGTTTTCCATTCGTCCCTGTCGCGTGCAAGAGTTGTCCAGTGGACCCTCCTCGCTCGAGGGACACGGTGTCCTTCATTCCTTTT